CACAGACGGTCTGTAATGTGCAGTTTTGTTTTCTTACAGGTAAATGGTTGCAGATGCAGATGACATATGTGCCAGCATAATCTTTTAGAAATGGGATCTATTATTCAACGTGCACAAATAAAGTATTCATTAAACAACTGCTTGCTTTCACATTCTCGTTGCATAAGAAACTACTGTCCCATGATGTTTCAGGTAGTAAGATGTAACATAATGGGTAGAGTCAGAAACTTGGAGGAGATGTAATGGAAGAATAATTAACTAGGGACAAGATCGTAATCAGCATCCGAGAGAAAACTTTATCAGACTTCTGGTAGTGAAGGAATAATGACTTCATATTAATGAAATCAGTTCATTTGAACAAGTAGACAGAAATAAAGAACTTTTATTTGAGAACACCTATGCTTTGTTTCACTTTGCCATGAGGTCTGCAAGAGACAGCAAGATTGTGCAACATAACATTCCCATGTTGATGTCTTCTGTCTCAATAGCATATAACACACAGTCTTAATCCCTTATACTACATCTCCCACCCCAAATCTCTGACTCTACCCATTATAGTACATCTCATTACACTATACTTCACGGAAGTATACAAATAAATTGGTTGCTGAAGTAAACAGGATAAGAGTGGTGTTCAAAATCATAGCTAAATGCAGATAAATATTAACAAGTGGGTGGGAAAGGATCAGGTTGGTGAGGTGCTGTTTTGAGGTTGGGTCAGTTGAACGTTCATTATCTTTATTCTGTAAGTTTGACAGACTGGAGACCTGAGGGGCAGGAAATCCTGCAGAAGGTTACAGCCATGCTGAGCTAAGAGCGGGTGGGCCTAGTGAAGGGCAGGAGAGAGAGCAGTGGTGCTGAATGTAGTCTGATTGTGGGTCACAAAGACAGAAATCTATCTTGGAGAGAATGTGATGGCTGGGGATGGGTCCAATTGCTGGGACTGAATGGATGGCAAATAATTTCTGAGTGTTGGTGGGGGGGGGTTTGGGCTATTAATGGAATTTACTGCTCAGCCTGTGTGTCCAAGAGGAAACACTCCTGCTCCCCAGGCCAAAGAAGTGCATATATTTTAAGGGTGCAGCTCTACTTACCTCCTTTTACCTGCCAGGTTTCCCAAATGAAACCTGTCCGACTCTGGTCACTATTAAAACAAAGGCACTCCACCTCAATTCAAATAACTAATCTTCCTCCTACGAGCAAATTGGTCACCTGATCCCTTGTCCCATCTCCATTTAAAACTGAAGTGGATGGGTTCCTGTTTTAGGCTTTAACCTTTTCAACCGCTCAGCTAAACCGACATGCCCATTTTTGGGCGTTAAAAGCTCCCTTCAATAGATTTAGTTTATAAAAGGCTCAATTTTAAAGGAAGGGGGAAAAACAAGGTATTGAAAGAGAAAACAAGGATTTATATTCAACATATTAGGAGGATGAAAGACTAATGCCAGTAAATAAATACAGGAGTGGCAAGAAAGTGAAAGTTGATACAGGCAGGATGCATGTAAGTGAGTTTTAAAGCATGTGGATGGTGGAGAATGGGAGGCAGCATGCAGAAAATGAAAGAATTTGCACTTATACAGAATGCACAAGGACTTTAAAAGAGATAAATTATTTTAGAAGTGGAATGTAGGAAACTCAGCAGCCAATTCGCTGATGAAACTCCTACAAACAGCAATGCAACAGTGATCAGGCATCTGTTTTTGGAATGATGATTTAATAAAATATATTGGGCCAAACAATGGCAAAATTCTTTTGCTCTTATTTGAATCGCACAATCGTGTCTTCTACTAAGAGGGCAGATGTGGCCTCAGCTTAGTGTTGCAGCTGAAACGAAAGCCTCGGACAGTACACACCGATAGGACCTCATTGACTGGAAAGCGCCAAGGATTGTACGAAGGCTATGGAAGGAACTATATATAAACATAAATTATTTTTCTTTCATTCTATGTCAGCATTGCCAAATTAAAACATTACTCCTTTAAGTGGTGTTCAGATACTTTTAAGCAATCTGGAACAATAAGCATTTTGTTTGTCCAATTTGTAATTCCCTCTTTGCTGGGAGACAGAGGGCTCATTATACTAAGAGGGAGAAAAAAATGAAATGTGGGTACTAAATAAGAACACTGAACAAGTTAAAACATCTTTTCCAAAGGCTTTTATTCCATTAAGGCAAACTATTACTAAATTAAAATGCTGCCCAATGGGAGAATGGAAATGTGCAGAGCCAAGCAACAGCACACTCACTTAAAATTCCTCATCATTCTCTGATAAATTACATGAATCAATACGATAGCGGCAAATCGGTACTCGCCCTAATTAAAGTATCTGGCTTGTAGAACAGATCAGTCACTGCCCTGTGCATTACTGTCCAAACCAATAAAACCATAAAAGATTGTTTAATGGTGTAAGCTTTACAGACAGAGGTTGTGACGCAACTGCAAAAGGTTACAGCCTGTTCCCCCGGCAAGACCACCATTTGACTAAACTACCATCGATTATAAAAACACATCACTGAACAAAAAATACTTTTACAATCATTTCTTCTTGTGGAACATGTAATAAATGGAAGGGCACAGGTGTCCACAGTCAGACATGGCCCAGACTTTAAAATGCTATTGAAACAGAAAGAATAGTCTCTGCAATTAGAATCTGGTGCAAGTTTCCATGGAAAGATACAGAGCCCAGAGGTTATCAACTAGCACAGAGAATTCTGACTACATTTGGAAATATCAGGTAAAAATTACTACATGGAGACTGATAACTTTAAAAAAAGATATTTGAACTTCCAGCTAATCATTAAGAGAATGACACATCAAGATTTCACATTTTAAGATATTTACTGTAACAGGAGACATAAAGCAGTACTGACTGCACTTGTCCTAAATGTGCAGTTCAAACCCTTAAATGGAATACATGCTTCTTATTTTTAATCCAGTTCATAAAATGTACTTCACACTGTCCTTTACGTAATAATCTGGAATTAAGAGTGTGAGGATAACCATGAAACTGTTGCTGATTGTCGGAAAACCTGTCTGGTTCATTAATTTCCTTCAGGGAAGGAAATCTGCCAGCCTTATCTGGTCTGGCCTACAGGTGACTCCAGGCTTACAGCAATATGGTTGACTCTTAACTGCCCTCTGGGCAATGAGGGATGGACAATAAATGTTGGTCCAGACAGCAATGCCCACATCCCATGAAGAAATTTAAAAAGGAAATTCAATTAGCAGAATCAATCCAAAGTGATTCTTGACTCCTGAAGGTTGTTCATCTTAGAACTGTCTTTCACAATTAGGTTTGCTTTTCCTGGCGATTCTCTCTCTAGCCCATGCCAAGTGATTCTTCAAGCCTCATTTTAACTCTGTGGAATCTGGTTGTGCCCAAGCTGGCTGCCATGTTGCTTAAATCTCAACAGTGACTACATTTCAAAAGTACGTTCTTGATGGTAAAGTGCCTTCGGAATTCCTGAGGTTTAGGAGAGTTAAGCTGTTCAGAGGAGTGAAACATGGAGTGGATTATGTGCGATGTATTAAACTGAGTTGGCCAATTGTGTTTTACTGTCATGGTCTAGAGACAAGACAGCAGAAACATGAACAGCAATCCGACAATTTCAATCCATTGCACAGGCAAATTCAAATGAAGAAGTTTGCAACGGTTATTTAAAAGCTGAGTAAAAATGAGAAGTATGGCATTTATTCCACCATACTCATTTTTCACACTCAGGAATAAGTCCAGGAGATCACAAGAGCCCATCACCATCCAACGTTGGAAAATCATGCATTCAACTAAAAAAGTGACAAACATTCAATGTGACTCGGAACTTCTTTTGTTCTTCACTCGACATTAGCTGAATCATTCTTAGCAAACCCATGAAACCTTAAATGTATCAATGTATTCTTCCCTTAGGCACTGTTTAATAAAAATGTTTAAGCTTTGTGAGATACTTGTGTGAAAACTAAATCAACTGAATATTTGTGTTACTGAAGGCAATCTTGAACTTATAAATCCTTCTTTTTCCAAGTTTCTCTCTCTAATCAATTAGAAGTAATAGTAAGGAAATCACTCGAGTGAAAGCTATGGTGGAAATTTATAACAAGCACAGCAAATGCTGGAGTAATCAGCAGGTCTGGCAACAGTTGACAAGAGAGAAACAGAGTTAATGTTTTGAGTCTAGTATGACTGTTCAACGGAACTAGAGGCCATTGTTTAAGGATACAGGGTCGGTCATTTTGAATTGGGATGAAGAGAAATGTGGTGAGCCTGCAGAATTCTCTAACATACAAAGCAGTTGAGACCAAAACATTGAATGTTTTCAAGGAAGAGTAGATACAATTCTTAGGGCTAAAGGTGTCAAAGGGTATGGGGAGGAATCAGGAACAGGATACTTAGTTGGGCGATCAGCTATGGTCATGTTGAATGGCGCAGCAGGCTCAAATGGCTGAATGGTCTACCACTGCTCTCATTTTGTGTTTCTATTTTCCTGAACTATCCCTCAATGTTTTTAGTGTGTGAAATACTATCAATCTCAGTCTTGAACAAACTTTAAGACTAAGCGTTCACAGCCCCTTTTGGGTGGAAAGTTCAAAGACTCACCATCTCCTGAGTGAAAAGATTCCAAATGGACTGTCTCTTACTCTGAGACTTGGTTGAACCTCATCCCCTGCCCCTCCCCCAACCACCATCTCACACCAAGACACATTACTCCTGCGTCCGCCTATTAATTCCTTCAAAACATACGCCTATTTGAACGAGATCACCTTTCATTCTTCTAAACACTAGGGAGCTGTTCTTAATTTAATCTGGGCTGAGACTATTTCAACTCATCTTATTCAGGAATTTGCCGGTTGAAAGAAAGCACCTTGGGCTGTACTTGAGACCAAGACTCTAGGATGAACGTATCATGTTTTCGATGACACAAATTGCACCAGCCGCAGCGAAGGCTGTCAAGGCTACTCATTTTTCTAGCAGGAAATGAACTGTGTATATTTAACCCAGGAGCTTACCTCTTGGTGTCTATCCATTCTCCTGGCCACCATCACCTGGATCATTCCTCGGATGTTTCCCTCCATTGACATGGATCGCCGTAATGTTTCCAAGGCCTCATGGTTAGATTTCTCCAGCAACTGCTCACCATTCACTGCAATCAGCTGATCATTCACCCGTAGACGCCCATCCTGCATGTTGCAAGAACAATTATCCCAAATTCATCAACATTAATATGGTTCCTCAACTTCCAACTCAATTCAATCACAATGCTTATTTATGTAGTGTCCTGAATGCAGTAAGCGGCCCAAAGGACTGTAACAGGAGCATTATAAAAACAAAATTTGATAATTAGCCACATAAAGGCATAGAGGAATAGGTATGGGTCAAAGAGGTAGGTTTTCATTAGCTGCATTAAAGGATGAAATTGAGATACACAGTTCAGGAAGGAAGGAAGCCCACAGATTGGACCTGTGCAGCTGAAACACTGGTTCCAAAAGTGGAGCAATGGAGTCTGGGGAAGGCTCAACTTACAATATGTGCAGGAGAGTTTTTTTGGACAAGCTCATAATTTCCATCTGGAGCAATTGCAAAAGTTTGGACTTAAAGTTAGATTTTGACATTCCTTGCTGTCTGCCTGATTATCCACCATAATCTAACCTCACAGCTTGCCAGGGCTTCCTTCAAAATTCTTGTGCATCATTTTGATTTCATGAAATAAGTGCTAGCCCTCTCAAACATACAGAACAGTCTTCACTGTAAGTTCTCCCACACAGCACAGCATTTTGCCACATTTAAAAGACATCTGGACAGGTACGTGAATGAGATAACAAGGTGTAGAGCTGGTTGAACACAGCAGGCCAAGCAGCATCAGAGGAGCAGGAAGGCTGACGTTTCGGGCCTAGACCCATCTTCAGAAATCCATGAATGAGTAAGGTTTAGAGGGATATGGGCCAAACGCAGGCAAATGGGACTAGTTTAGTTTGGAAAAATTAGACTGAAGGGTCTGTTTCTGTGCTGTATGACTCTAATGACTTCATTCTACAATCTGGAGTTGAGTTGATGTTAAGGTTTCTCTGTGGATCAGCACCTTGACGTGGTGGACAGCGCTGCACATTTCAAGCATCCTTCAAGTGATGACTTTAGGAGATCTTTACTCCTGACAAGGCCGTCTCTGGCAGTATGATTGGGCAAGAGATGGCAAATACAATGCAGTCTAAAACATCCTCAATGTCAGACCAGGTGAAGGAAGGCCAGTTTTCAATGGTTGAGAAAGCAATCCTGGTCATCAGGATTTGACATCTTACCGAAATCTGATCACCAACATGTCAAAATTGTGTTGACAGTGTGGGTGCCCCCAGAGTTCCCCAAGTTAAACATAAGCTAGGGGTAGTTCATGTTATGGTCCATTCATCACTGAAGCCGGTATCCCATCACCAAACCACCCTTTATTTACACGTAAAGAGTCCTTGACACTGATTCAGCTCTCTCAGAAGCTGCTCTCCAAGTGAACAGGATGTCTGATACTCTTGTTCTTATCTATCAGCCAGGGCTACTTGATTAACAGTCCCAATCAGGGAACTCATATTCTATGTGGTTCCAACTGGCTGACCTCGTTACAGTCACTACAGACACATCCTGTGAAGAAGAATATTTGAGGGGAGGCAATGATTGTATAGTGACATTGTTGCTGGACTAGTAATCCAAAGAAGCAGGAAATGTGCTGTGAGCCCCGGTTCGAATCCCACCATGGCAGATGGTGGAATTTGAATTTAGTAAAGTCTGTAATCAGAAGTCTAATGATGAGTGTGAAACCACAGTTCAATGTCATAAAAATACCATCTGGTTCACTAAATCTGGCATCCTTACTCGGTCTGGCCAAGTGCACTTCCAGATGCACAACAATGTCATTGATTCCTCACTTCCCTCTAGGTAATTTGCAATACGCACTAAATGCTGGCTCAGCCGGCGATGCCAACATCTTCTTAATGAAGTTTTGAAACAACAATTGGCAAAAAATTAATAGGGCTATGAACTTGAGAGTCTTTAGTCAAGAATCTGCTTATATTGGACAGATGCATGAAGGTCATTGTCCTATCACAGGTATATTTGGACAGCAGTGACTGTAACTGGGCACTCTTCAGGATATCCACTGATCAGCTCAATGGGAATGAGAACTGGGAATGAGACTAGGAATGAAGCCCTGAAAGTACGCTGCCCCACTTTCTCCTGTGCGAGGAAGAAAAATCTAACATTTGCAGCTTGGATTGTTAAATCACTCAGATAATCTCAAGAGTCACCCTCCAGAAAGATGAACTGTAATTGTATTATGGGAACTACCAAGACTCTTTAGTTGACATCGGTCTCCTTGATAAGACCCATTTTCCTAGTAATAATTTTCCTGGAGAATAATAAGAATGGCAGTGACCCCATTCTGATTTTGATAAATCCTCATTACTATCCCAAAAGAGGAAAAACTTCTGGGGAGTTTTGTGCTAGCATTGGCCATGTCTGGAGAGTAACCGCTGGGAAAAGAAAACAAGGTCAAGAAAGCCAATAGAAATGATATCTTGCTATGAAAAAAGGTATATGGACAATTTATTTTGGCCAATCACCTAGTCTGCACATCCCTAGACACTATGGGACAATTTAGCACAGCTAATCTACCTAACCTGCACATCTTTGGACTGTGGGAGGAAAGTGGAGCACCCGGAGGAAACCCATGCAGACACGGGAAGAATGTGCAAACTTCACGCAGACAGTCGCCTGAGGGTGGAATCGAATGCCGGTCCCTGGCGCTGTGAGGCACCAGTGCTAACCACTGAGCCACCATGTCTCTTGAATTGTCTAATTCTGTGGCTGAGAAAATCCTCCCAGAGGCGGAATGTGGCAGAAGACCTTCCAAAGGAACATCAAACATGGTCTTTGTTGTCAGAAAGACATAAGGAAAATGTCAAGAATGACACCAGAACTCCTCAACACAGTCATCAAACTGACCACAGTGTGTAATGCAGTAAATTCTGAGGCCCTGTAGACTGTGTTCCAATGATTTGGATAGCTGAGAAACTACACCAGCATCCAACAACCTATGTTGCCTGTAATGTTCCTGTTGCTGTGCAGTCCTTAGAGGTCCATCTGCAGCATCCTCTTGTGCAACTGAAGGAGAATGCGTCCGCACACTGTACAGCGTGCGTGGACTCTCCAAGCAGCTGTGCAACTTAGAGGGAACAGTGCCTGCAGCTGCTTTATAATGATGTGACTGCAATTGTTAAGCGGGAGAACTGAACCAGACACCTTCAAAATCCAGACCAGGGTCAAAAATATTGTCTTAATGAAGAGCACTTTGACTTAAGTCATATCCATGTCAAAATGAATCTGGCCACCACAAATATACATGATACATGACTGACAGTTTGCAATGACGGCAGTACTGCTGCCCACTCTTCACCTCTTTGAATTCGCAAGAACGAATTTCAGCCGGTCTTTGAATAATAACATATCAACCCACATCTTGTGAGCTAAATATCCCACCTCCCATATATGTTGGAGGAGAGTCTTGAGAATGTGTTAGATGACACAGCCAATCTAACAGCGAAGTAAAGGAAATTGCAAATGCTTGAGGTCGGAATTGGAAGAACAAAGTTTGGAGGACTGCGGAGTTGTAAGAGGTTCCAGAGTTCAGAGGGAGGTCTGCTAGGTTGTTCAAATTCCTCCTGTTTTTTGTCATTTATATCAATGATTTGGATGTGAATATTGGAGGTATGGTTAACAAATTTGCAGGTGACGCCAAAATTGGTGGTGTAGTGGACAGTGAAAAAGGTTACCTCCGAATAAAACAGGACCTCGAGCAGATGTGCCAAGGAATGTCAGATGGATTTTAATTGAGATAAAAATGAGGTGTTGCATTTTAGTAAGGCAAATCAAGGCAAGGCTTATACACTTAACGGTAGGGTCCTGGCAAGTGTTGCCGAACAAAGAGACCTTAGGGTGCAGGTTCATGGTTCCTTGAAAGTGGAGTTGTAGGTAGACAGGGTAGAGAATTTACAAGGATGTTGCCAGGGTTTGAGCTGTAGGGAGAGGCTGAATAATTGGGCTGTTTTCCTTGGAGTGTCACAGATTGAGGAGTGACCTTACAGAGATTTATATAATCATGAGAGGCATGGATAGGATTAATAGCCTAAGTATTTTTCCAGGGTAGAGGAGTCCAAAATTAGAGTGCACAGGTTTAAGGTGAGGCGGGAAAGATTTAAAAGGGATGTAAGGGGTAACTTTTTCATGCAGAGGGTAGTGCGTGTATGGAATGAACTGCCACAGGAAGTGGTGGAGGCTGCTACAATTCCAACATTTAAAAGGCATATGAATGGGTACATGAATAGGGTGAGTTTAGAGAGATATGGGCCAAATGCTGGCAAATGGGACTAGATTAATTTAATGGGACTAGATTAATCTGGTCAACATAGATAAGTTAGACTGAAGGGTCTGTTTCCGTGCTGTACGACTTTATGACTCTATGACTTGAAGTACGATAGTCTCTATAATCATCTCCCTCTACCATTAGAAACTTGTGAGGAAATATTCTGCAATTGAGAAAGCACAATTTCTATAATCTCTATTCATTTCTGTAATTCAGTCCTTTCCACAGAGTTACCTTGAAAGCTGCCCCTCCATGAAGAATAGCCTTGATGAATATGCCAAGGTCAGCCCCAGTGTCTTTGGACTTATTCCCTTTTAGACTGATGCCCAGTCCAGCGGATCCCGAGTCATTGAGGGGAATCTCGTAGGTCAGGTACTCCTTTTTATCGTCTCCTGGTAGATTACAGTTTTGTTCCCCCTTCTGAAACAAAATAAATGCATTAGATGAATGCAGAACTATCACGAGATCTGTAATCAGCGGTCACAACTTTCACAGACTTCATAGGTAGGGACTCAACATGCTGTTTTTTAGAAGTAAGATTTACGCTGAGAACGTAAATTTGGTTGCACTTTCATTCCTCAGCTCAGGATTCAAGTCCCACTCCAGACGCTTTTGTACATGAACCAGACTGGCATTTCAGTGCTGCGGAGAAGGAGTACTGCCCTGTCACGGGGCTATCTTTTGGGTGAAACATTAAACCCAGCCCTCTCAGTTGGACATGAAAGATCTTGAAGTATTACGTGCAGAACAGTTGTATTATCCTCTACGTCCCAGTTAATATTTATCCTTAAACATCACTAAAAAATATTATCTAGTCATTATTGCATTATTGTTTGGTGTTGTTGGCTGTTAGCAAGTTCCTTGCCTTGTTTCCAACGTAACAAAAAAAACTTCCAAAGTAATTAATTGGTTGACAAGCATTTAAGAGTGCTTTGAGACTGAGAACTTTTTTTTTGCTTAATCCTGAATCAAAAAATTGTTAAAAGTATGGAGCGCCTGTGACAGGTTTTGACCACTATAATATTAAAGAATTATAGCCACTCCAGAGTGATAGCGCATGAACATCCTGACAGCTGGGAAACATTACATTGGAAATATTGAATATATTTGGTCTCCTGAAACTTTGAGGAACAGTCAAAGAACAGTCAATGGACAGCCAGGAGATGTTTTCACCAACTTTTACATATCTCAGGGACACTAATGTCAATTATATTAGCCAGAATAAGTTTCTGATTGTAGCCAAGTCTGTACCCTCTATGCTCTCTCTAGTAAATCACAGCATTGTCAAGAGAAATCATCAGTTCTTCACTTTCAACAAACACATTTTCTCATCAACAGTGGAAAAGGTAGCTTAGCAGTTTGTACAAACGTCAAACACACTCCTGGATAGATCATAGCAAGGTTCTTCCCATTGCCTGACTGCTTCCAAAGGGACCAGTAAAAAAAAACTGACTTCTTCTCATGAAAGGAGAAAGATAATTCAGGGTCAAAGTCAATTACATCACCGGTACAATAATGAAGGTTGCTGCCTTAGTGCTTCCCTGTCAAACGAAAGCGTATACACAGCAGGATTTTATAAAGAGGAGTTTATTGGAAGTTATTGACAGTTTTGCTGGTTTTAAAAGATAGCCGCCAGGGATGAAAATAGAGAACTCAAATGCTTTTCTGACTGGCGAAGAGCCAAACTTGATTTGCAGATACTAATTGCAAAGATAAACTGTTGAGCACTGATCTACACAAAACAGTATTTATGCATTTGGAAGAAGAAAAACATTCAAGAGTTAAGACAGAGTTCAGAATCGATTCCAGCATCTACTGCAAGAATACGTGTCTCACAAAACTATAATCTTAAGTACAAATCGAGCTGATGTGCTTACTTTCAAAAAACACTAAAAATTTTTCCCCGGTAGCTGCCAACAACCTCAGGTTGGTCACCAGAACAACTGGATTTTTAATTATGGGTGAATAGTGACAAGCATTGACAGAACACTACTTTGTATTTATATGCACTTTTAAAGCAATATAACGGCCCAATGCATTTTACAGTAGGTAATGTAGGAGATACTGGAGCAGATGACCAAAAGCTTGGTCAAAAAAACAGGCTTTTCAAGAGCACCTTAAATATGGTGTGAGAGGTAGAGATGCAGGAAGGGGTAGGGAAAGAAGCTTTGAGTTTTGGGTCTAGGTCACTAAAAGCACAACGTCCAGTGGTGGAGCAACGAAAATAAGGGACGTACAAGAGCAGATATCTTGGAGACTTTCAAGGCTGTGAGATGTTACAGGGATAGGGAGGACTCAGGCTTTGAAGGGATTTGAAAGGAAGAATGAAAAAACTACAATTAAAGGCAAAGAGTTGAAAAAGTAATGGGGCAGGACATACAGCAGAATGTATGCCAATCTACCAAAACTTCTTTTTTGTTTCCACTCTGTAGCAAAATAACTTTGGCACAAATCCTCAGTGGAGAATAGCTGTGTAATGCCAACAGCGAGTTCAAATGAATTCTAGTTACTTATAGCTATGGGCTCTTCAGATGTACTTGAAAGGGGTCTTAGCCAATCAACTTTACTTTGGACAAAACATCTGCTGTTACATGATGCAACCTCAAAAAAATATGTTCTGCACTTTGCCCTGCTGTGATATTTAGACCAAAATAGAAATCATTTCCTGACTTCAAGGACCACTCCAGGAATTGTGCACACAGTCTGGACTCGCCCTTCATTTACTGGGGAAGCGATGCATTCATGGAGGTGCTAACACAAATAATCAATTGTGTTTTCACCTCTGCGACCTGGATTTTAATCAAGACTAAACCTATCTCATATGTTACATGAGAGTCAGAAGAGTGCAGAAATTTTGATCCAATTACCCGTTACTCTATTGAAACACAGGTCGCAGAGGTGAGAACATTATATGCCAACTGACTGTTATCATCTCACCTCTGTCTACCCAATTAAGACGCACCTAGGGGAGCAAGAAGTAGTGGAGAGGAGTCTTACCTGATGGAGTTAGAAACTCAGAAGTTGGTCACAAAACACAGCAACTATCTCACAAGCTGTAATATTCAATCCAAATAATATTGTCTGATAGTGGTTGTGGAGGAGAGGGAGGGAGAATGCAGGGCCAGGAGAGCAAGATAGCGTATGTCACCAATATTGGTCAAACATTCAGAATGAAGAGATTTGCACAGCCTTTCTAAAATTGCACCTTAGTGGACAAATCTCTGAGAATTCTGCCTTCCTTTAATTCTGCCCATTAACGCACTCAGATTTCAATTGCTCCTCCATTAGTAGCCACATGTAGATCCCACACATTGGAATCCCATCCCTAAATCTCAGCACATCTTTTCTCTTTTCTCCCCCATGTCACTCCTTAAAACCCACTTTTTTAACCTATGTTTTGCAATCACCTGTCCTATTATCTTCTTACGTGGTTTGATGTAAACTTGGTTTGATGTAAAATTTGTTTGATAACTCTCTAGTAACACGCCTTGCAACGCTTGATTATTTTAAGGTGCTGTACACTTTCTAGTTGGTCTTTATTACTAGGCAACAGTGATTAGATACCATAGAGAATTCCATGTTCCAACTTATACACCATCTCAGGGCAAGTTATGGCTCACTCCTATTGGGCAGCAGAGCAAATTCATGCATGAAGTTGAGAAGCCAAGCATCAAACTGTTTGAGTGCCCAAACCACATATAATTTATTCACCTCTCACTACCCAACCTACCAAATAGGGTGAAGTGCTGCAGGGAAGCAAGATGACATTGCCTTTGATTCATGCACATGGGAAGGGAGTTTCCAGGATGATTCATAATTACCAGGGATCTGAATAAAGGTTAAGGAAGTTGAGTCAGTTCTCTTCTGAAAATACTTCTAGCTGACCTTCTTGACGCTGGTAGATTTTGAATGGAAGTGACAAGAGTTGATCGGGGTAGTTGTTTCCTGTAGCATTGACAGTCAGCAGATACAAATTAGGAAGTCGGGAATAGATTTTTAAAAATTAAATGTTTTCTACTTTGTTTAAAAGATCATTAGGAATAAGTCATTGGGGAAGATAATTGAAGCAAACACCATAAATACAATTTAATACATGTCTGCAGACAGAAGGATTGAGTGATACTTCCAGGGTTCTTCATTTTTTGCAGTTTAGATTTGTGACATGTTCTCACAACTCAACGAGACTTTATGTGGAAGTGTTTAATAGCTTCTCCCTCTAAACAGAAACACTTACTATGGCAAGTCATCATGTGCAATGTACCCACAAATGCATTTCTCCAAACAAAGGCCACATGAAATTAGTCAAATGTTACTGAGTTGCAATTGGTAGCTCCCTCTGTGATTCAGTACCACACCATACAGAGCAAGACAGCATAAATTACGGTAATATCGACATTAACTCAAAAGTTCTTCATTTTCAACTGATATCTCTACTGGCCAAGTTAAGAATAAAAGGCTTACATGTCTGTACCAACGTCAAATTCTTGGATACATCAAACAAAGACTGTGCATGTTGCAGCATTATTTCCAAACAAAAGGGCATTCCTCTAACCATTTTAACATTTGTGAATCTCACTTAATTATCTAATCCTCTGATACAGTCCTACCTTCTGGTTCTTTGCACTGATTTTATCTCATGTGGCTCTGTATCATATTTTGTTTTATAGCACTCCTATAAAGCATCTGGAGACTTTTTTTATTATGTTAAAGGCGCCACATGAGTACAATGTTGTCACAATTGACGTTGAGAGAGAAATAGAAAACATGGTAGCTCATATCTCATAGACGATTACATCACACTAACATTAGTACAATGATGAAAACTACAGCCTTACAGTACTTTTCCAGTGGACCATGAAACTCAAAGTAAGATTTTACTATTCGCTTCCATTCCCCATTTTATCTGATGTTCAGGCAAGTCAACAAACAACCAGCCTAATTGATGGGGAATCCCAACAGCAATTGTATCTCATAACATAGAATGTACTGCCAATGTAGTGCCCCACAGAACTACTGGTCAAATGGCTGAAAGCGTGAACAATTCAGCCAGATGGTACGACCTCAACTAACGCATAATTAGTTAGAATTCTGCTCAGTCATGTGTCCAAAATTCTGTTTTTTTTAAGTTGTGAAGTTTTAATAAAAATAAAATTGCTGTATCCTGTCTGGCAGACCATCAAGCTGTTAAAAAGAAATTAGAGTTTCATCCAACATCCCTTTCTTGTTCTCGGCTGATCTCACAAATTATCCGGAAATTCTTGCAAATACAAACACTGCTGAATCAGTAACAATGAATACTGTGGACTTTGGAGGACAGTCTGTTAAAAAGGGAAATCTCAAAAGGATGCTGATACTTTTTGCTTCAACTAAAAATGTGTTATTCACTGGAGAACAAAAATTTCTTTTCCTTGACAATTGAC